TTACAGTAAAATAAAGAATCCTTCACAGTTTTGGTTTCCTTTTTGTTTTCCAGCCACATCAATACTATTTTTTTTTTTTCCCTTCTAATGTATATTTTAGTGCTCTAGATTTTTCTCTTCGAAAAGAAGCTTTCAGTGTTAGAAGCTAATTTTTCTCAACCGGGGCAAAGTTTTAAATGAATTTTGGTTCATTTTGCAGTATTATTTCCTCTTCTTTTACTGCTGCTGTTGCTGTGGAAGCTGAAGCAAGATAAAGAGCAGGTGCAACCAGGTAACGAACCTACTGCTGAGAAGCAATGGAGTCCTCTTGGCACGGTGACAAAGCAACTGAGAAACACAGGATCCGGCGACAGTGACACAAACAACGGCAAAGCAAGACACGGCCCTGGAAATCATAACGCAGAACGGTTGGGGTTTGTTGAGAAATGAAGGTAGGTAGGGGAGATCTCGCAGCCGGGGATCTGTAAGTGGAAACTGGAGGCAACCAAAACCAAGCCCACTTAAGAAACTGTCGTGGTTTAACCCCAGACAGCAACTGAGCCCCACACAGCCGCTCGCTCACTCCTCCCCGGTGGGATGGGGGAGAGAATCGGAAGGGTAAAAGTGAGAAAACTCGTGGGTTGAGATAAAGACAGTTTAACAGGTAAAGCAAAAGCCGCACACGCAAGCAAAGCAAAACAAGGAATTCATTCACTCTGTCCCATCGGCAGGCAGGTGTTCAGCCATCGCCAGGAAAGCAGGGCTCCATCATGCCTAACGGTTACTTGGGAAGACAAATGCCATCACTCCAAACGTCCCCCCACTTCCTTCTTCTTCCCCCAGCTTTATATACTGAGCATGACGTCCCATGGTATGGAATGTCCCTTTGGCCAGTTTGGGTCAGCTGTCCTGGCTGTGCCCCCTCCCAGCTTCTTGTGCACCTCCAGCCTGCTCAGTCGGTAGAGCATGGGAAGCTGAGAAGTCCTTGCCTAGTGTAAGCACTGCTCAGCAACAACTAAAACATCGGTGTGTTATCAACATTGTTCTCACCCTAAATCCAAAGCACAGCACTGTACCAGCTACTAGGAAGGAAATTAACTCTATCCCTGCCGAAACCAGGACAGAAACGCAGAGTGCTGCGACGCTGTGGGTGCGTGGACAAGCTTTCACAACTTCACTAGGAAGACCGCCATCAGTAATAACAATTTTTTTTTTAAACCAACTACAGCAAATGCAGAGAGGTCGAAAAAACCGCTGAGTTTTGTGTTGTAGCTAATGAACCACACAACTAGAAATGCTTGTTCGGAATGAGCCGTTATCTGTGGCTGCTTGTACGGAGTATCGAATCCTCTTCCGCGGTCTTTGATGGGCTCTCATGCCAGTGAGGGCTGTTACTGGTGGTGTTGAAGTCACCTCCTTTTGGTTGTAATCGTTGTAATTCAGCTGCACTGGAAAATCGGAAGGAATTTGTTCTCCATGTATAGATTTGTCTTGTTTAAAGACAATAGTTAAAGTAATTTTAACAGGGACCTGGCTCCCTGCTGTCCTCCTGGACTTGGGTAAGTTTACAGCAAAACGACTTGACGGCTTCCAAACTTCTCACTTGTACGTGTATGTTAATCCTAGAATTATCTTCACTATTTAAGGTACATTGGTTCTGTCCTTCTGTATGATTTTAAATAAATACATTATAATTTTTACAGTATTTTCTTAAAATGTCTAATAAAAACAATCTCAGTTGCCCGCTCTTTGCATTTGATCACAAAGTTAAAATCTATGTGTATGTGTGTAGTATGCTCTAGAAACGGGTTCTCTTTCCGGAAATCTTGGGATGGGGATGTGAACCGTAAGTCAGTGAAAAATTTTGAAGTGTTTAGAGATAGAAGAACATGTACTGAGCCCTGGCTCAACTTCAGTAAAAAAAAAAAAAAAAAAGAAATTTCAATTAAATAGCCACAAAATTTAATGCGTTTGTTGACTCTTAGAAAATAAGGATTCAATAAATTAATTAAATGACCTTTAAATACAATGTTGGAGTTGTACTGTTACTGTAACACAACAGCAAATCTAACGTGCCCTTTCTACATTCGTGCACAAAGAGGTTTGAAAACTGAGGTTAAAAAAAAAAAAGTCGTCATGTGTCCCAGCTTTGGCAGAGATGACTTGAAACACGGGCTCGTAAGGCTTAGGACTTCGGCACTCTACAGCCACGGTTTGCCATGGATTTTAAAATAAAAGTTTGCTCCCAGAAAAAGGTAAGACAGCGGGCTCTACTCTTGCTGCATGCGGCTCTTTTATTGTCGTTTGTCTTTACAGAAATGTGAAGCATCTTCGCAGTAATTGCACGAACCCGCCTCCCGTCGGCTGTCTGCGGCGCATCCCGGCAGAACATGTCGCAGAAGCAGGTCTCGGAGGGGAAGGGGGGAGTTTTATCTGCTGTTGCTGATAAAAATCCGTGCAGGAGCTGACCTTGAGAGATGACGGGTCTCTCGGGGGGAAATAAAAACTTCACGTTCTGGATAGATTGAAGTAAAAAGGGGTGTAACAGGAAATAAATATACTCTAACGTTTGTTTGAATACTTGGATTTTACTTTAATGCATCATGATACATGGATTTAGTCCGTATTTAGCATATGAAACCGTTAGTGGACACGTAACATGCGATGGAGCCGTTTGCTGGTAAACCTGGAAATGTCGCAGCCCTCCTCGTTTCTGCGTTCCCCCAGGGCCTGTCACGTCTCTGCACTGGAACACAACTGTTCCCTTCAGAAAAACCGTATTTGTCGGAGCTTATTGTCAGCAGGTGGAAGCGATAGCAATTGTTGTCCTCTCCCCGTGGGAACTGCGGGACGGGTTGCACCGGGCTGGCCTCCGGCCCGGGTGGGTTCAGGGGAAGGTCCTCCCTTGCCCACCCCTCCAAGACAGCCCTTTGATAAGCAGAAACAACCTTTCTTGATGCATCAGCGTTTCCGGGACCGTTACAAAAATAAAATACTTTTGTTTTTACATTAGTATTGTAACTGAGTCTAAAGGATTAGAAAAATTAAGTGCTTGTTCTTAGACTTGCATTGACCACAGGGAAGTATCTACAGTATTTATTTCAACATCCCATTAGAATGTCCGCTGTAAATTTACACCATAGAAAGAATGTATGCGAAACGCGTATGGTTTATACACATAGCTTTCTTTTTAAATACATCTATTTATACATTAAACAAACAAGCATTGTCAAAATACAGCAATAGTGAGGGTTGTTATTTTCATAGTATCACAAACCACGTGTAGTCTATACTTCTTTTGGTATGTGGGTTTCCTCTTACGTTAATTATCTCCTGGAATTAAGGGTCAGTAAGAATTCGGAGTGCCCAGGGAGGAAGGAGAGGTACCTGATGTCCTTGCAACCTGCGGGGCCTCTGGCAGAAGGACCCTTCGCCCTCCGCAGCGCTCGGCCAACCTGGGTGCCCGGGGCTGCGTCATCTGGCACGTCGCACCCAGGGGTTGGGGGGGGTTCAGCTGAGAAACGCGGCGCTGCAGGAGCCGTGCTCGCTGCTCTGCGCTCGCAAACGCTCTGCTTACGGAGCCCATTACCCCAGCGGCCAGTCAAATGGAAAAAAATTAAAAATATTAAAAACTGTTGTGTTCTGAGTAGTTAAACACACGCAAATGATCGCATCATCCCCACTGCTTGGGCTTGTGTGGGGTGGGGTTTTTTTTTAAACCTGTAATACGGTGTTGTTCCACTCTCCCTTGAAGGCTAAGTGGGGGTTGGAAAAATCATCTGTCTGAAATCCAGACAATTGAGTGTATTAACGCTTGCAGAGGCATTTCTGGAGTTATCTGAGCATCTTGAGGCTTTAAATTAACACAGACCCGACGTCTGCTTTTGTACGTCAACTGCGCTCACTTTTTAGCCTACAACAACTTCTTTCTTTTTATTTTAAATGATATTTTTGGCATGATAGGTTACAAACGGAAATAAATAAAACATGTATCTGCCTTAACCAACTAGATAAAAAATTAATAACTAAAAAAAAAAACCCCAAAACAACCCCAAAAAGCATCAGAGACAGTTCTGTTTGTGCCCACATAGCGGAAGGGTCGGGCTGGGGGGCCGGGCTCGTTGCTTTTACCTGCGGTACCTCCCCGAGCCCGTGAGGTACCGTCGGCTGACGGTGCCTGGTGCGGGTCACCCAGCGCCTCATGGCCAAGCACGTCAGGAAAAAATAACAATAAAAAAAGAAAAAAAGACCAACCCCAAGCCACT